ACAGTTGTTGGTATTGATGGGTATCTCTGGTGCAAGACAACGCACAGAATGGTCATTGAGGGAGGAACCTGCAGTTCCTCTTGCTGTTTTCTCTATACACGATTATCCAAAGAGTGTTAGAGAAAGCCTCAGTCCATAGATGGGGTAAGCAAATCCTTTCCTACACGAGGCTAACAGCATTCACTGCCTCTGAAAAATCTGATTAGATACGCCTCTCGTGCACACTGCCTGTTACTCCCTTCTTCCCGTTCACAGATTTCCATCCTGTCTGCGCGCTTGCCCCACAATAAGTGCTCTATCCCGTGTGCAGGGAATGACCTGACTTGGATCAAGTGTTTTGCAATGACATGTGATAATTGCCTGTGAACTTTCTGTCATGGCAGGATTATGAACAGCACTTGATAGTTCTCTGCTGGCTTCTGTTCACCGGTTTTCTGATTTACTTCCCATCTGCACCTCATTAAATGTCCAGATATCTGTTACGTATCTGCTACAATATTACGTCCTCAGCAAGCTACCACTTTTTCCCAGATTAGCGTTCTTCCTGATGCCGTAATAATTATTCTGCATTGCTCATGTTACCTTCTCCTCATGGAAAACTCTGTCTCAAATACTTTGCTTCAACTTTTCTAAGTTTTATGTCTGCTTCCAGCACTGAATGTCTCATGCAAACTATCTAGTCTACTCAAATGGGATAAAACAATGACAGGGTGAGAAATAGCTTTACACAAACACCAGTTCTTTTGTAAAGCATCAGGGCATAATTTCAAACGCTATTGTTTTTTTCAGGGCTCTGGTGGAGTCTGTCACCACAGCTTTAGTCAGAGAATGACATGGGGAACCCCAACCAGGGGAGCTAAACATGCTCATTCATTTCCAGATAATAATCTGAGGTCAATTCCAGGCATTAAGACATCTGAAGCTACTTAGTATTTCAGTAAGTAGTGTGGTTGTTGTAGGAAGAAGCCCTTAAGTAAAGGGCTCGTGGAAATTTCTGGTAGAGGGCATGCAGTTAATGACCTCAGAAAAGGTCTGTGAAGAATTTATTTCATTTTCAGCTGTTGTTTCTAGTAGTCTTACAAGCTCAGACGGGGTTGAGCAGAACAGTTTACGACAGCTACTGTGCCCTTCAGCGGTGGGCCAGCCCTTAAGGCATGCCAGGCTGCAGTGGAGAGCCTTCCCTGCCAAGCTCCTCTATTAAGGGAAGGAGACAGGCATGTTTGTGGTCTCTCTTCCCAGACAGCCTTTTTTCCCAGGACCCAGGCTCTAATGAATCTCAAGATTAGGCACAACAATAAGCAACACGGGAGACCAGGCCACTGACACGGTAATTACAGTTATTCCCAGGTTTCTGGGAATAACTCAGAGTTGATCCAGAGCATGACTGAGAGTCAGCAGAGAATTTATTTTATCCCTTTCAACTCTTCAGAAAGACCGCCTGGAAATCCGATAGGATGTCAGACCCCGGCCTAACCCTTCTTCGCAGGGCTGAAGCATTTTGTTTGTGGCAGCCTTCGTTTGGCAACGAGGGGGAGAGGGGAAGCAGCTGCTGGGTCTTTGGTTAGACAGAAAGGCTTCCAGCGATGCTAGCTTAAAGACTGATCTTCCTGCCGCTGATTCCAGAAAACCTGGAGACAGATATTTTATCCTGGAAAAGTTCCCCACGGGTTAGGGTTCAACGCTCTTGACATCCCCACCCCCTCCCCAACAAGGGGGCAGGAGGGCATCCCTCACTTCTCCATTGCGTGGCCTCCAGCATAGGTGCAGAGGCACGGGAAGAACTTGGTTAGCCTCAGAGAGGAAGAACTGCAGCTGTATAATTGCCCCGTGCCAAGCCACAAACGCCTCAGGGGAAATTTTTGCGGAAAGAGCACCTGGCTGAACTGGAATACGGTTTGTCTTTTCTACAGATGTAAATTCCTTATCATCTAAGGAATCGTACCTGACCCTCTTAGCTCCTTTAGGCAGAGCCCCCACCCAAGCCCAGGCAGAGCCAGCCTTGTAAAGACTGGATTTATGCTCATCTGCTCCGCTGTTTCTGACCTGCTCCGTGTCTGCAATTGCAGCAGCTCCTCTAACCAGGAGAGTGCAGAGGAATTGTTGTAAAGCCCCTTTGATTTCTCCATCTGCCAGAAGATAACTCGTGGGATTTGCTGAGGGGCTTGGGAAACTAGAGCTAGGAGCTAATCTAATCGAGAGTCTGTCCCACAGTCTTTAATTTATTACCTGGAAATTTGGAAAATGCCAAGTATCTCTAATTAAAAACAAGAGCCATTTGTGTGTCACGGTTAATGCAGATTTATTTCTGACAACACAATAAATCCAGCACAGATTGGAACCAGCTGCTCCAGCACTAAGTACCTGAAGTTCCCCCTCTGTGTCACCAGGCCTAGAACTCAGATGCAGTCATGCCCTATGTCTTGCTGGCCAAGGGGACACCTCAGCGTTGTCCTTGCTTACGTGAGGAAATAAACACTCCTAGGCAAGGACTGGCAAGGGAGCTTGGTCATGGAAATCCTGAGAGCTGAATCAATCTCCTTAAAAAGTGATTGATTCCTCTAGTGCAGAGAGGAAGCAGGAACAGGGCTTATGGATACGGTGGAACGCATTTTATTTAAAAAAAAAGAAAAGTCTCTCTGACTAGCATCCTTCAGTAAATCTTCATTAGGGCTCCTGTCATTCCTGAGAGTCACAGCACGGAACCATATCCTATTCTAACCGTAAGGAAAAGGCACACAAAGGCAGAGATGCTGATCTTCCCTGAACCTCAGCTCTGCCACCACCTGCTGAGTGTTCTTGCATCCAGGCAGAGCGCCCAAGAGCAGTAATCCTGAAAAAGGAGCCTGCAGCTTTCCACCCCTCCAAACGCACAAAGTCTATTTGATATCCAGGGCTAGGGCAGCCGAACTTCCCTTTGCGTTTCCGTTCTGCCCCGTCTCACCTGTTTGGATCACAAGGTCTCTGAAGCAGGACTGTCTGGCAGGTTACAGTTACGCAGATCTTTATTGCCACCTGGGGAAAAGCTACTTAAGGAATGGAGCTTTTGGTCCACATGCCTTCCCTCCAGGAAAACTCAGTTTTAACACCAGCTTTGATTATTACCCCAGCTGGGGGAGAATCTGTATTGCACTGAGCTTTCTGCACAGGCACCAGATACATCGTTTGTGTTCTCCTTCAGATATATCATATCTCTTTCAGATACCTCACTGGCATTCTCCTTCCCAGCAGCTGTGAGGAACTCTTCCTCCACAGGCCTCGAGATGCTTATCACAGAGAAGCATGGAAGGAGCCAGGGAAAGATTTAATCTGAAAATACCTTACAATAAGAGACTTTTTTTTTTCCTTTGTGAATGTGGAAGCTACATAGTCAGCATTTCCATTTACAGCCTGATAATACACAGTCAGATGAAAATTCTCATAGGAAATAGGTTGAGATGATCATTTGGAAGAAGAGAAACAGGGTATTTTTGAAGCATATCTGTTTCTTGTAAATTTTGTTTTTCTCTTGAGCAGCTCCGCTGCAGCATTTGGACCCTATCAGGGAAGTCAGCTCCAGCCAGAGCTCCCAAGTGCAGCAAAGAGTTCTGTTGTATTGTTTTCAAAATCAAGTACTGTACTCACTAGTGAGTAAAGTATCAGGTAAGGATGTTTATTTGCAGCAGAGTAGGTTACTTTCAACATGCTCTGGCTATCACCAAGAAGAGGCGTTATGTCCATTTCAACTACTGTTAAGTTACAAGTTAAAAATATTTGCATAAAACCAGCTGTATCTCCTCTGCTCAGAGGATGTTCTGTTGGCAGAAACAACAAGTTCTCAGGCAGGAATTGCACTACAAGACGGCGAACACTTTGGCTTTAGTACACCAGGAAAGAGCATAAGGCCGAGAGACAGACAACGAAACCTGTGAAGAGCACCTTTGGTGATGAGCAAACCCTGCTGAATTTTCCTGCACATCCATCAGTTATGCTTTGGCAGACCAGTTCTTTGCAACAGGACTATCAACCACTGCCACGAAACAGCATGTTTTGCTAGTAGTAGCACTGATACAACTTCCTTGAACCCTTACTTCAACATAGCAGACTTCGAACACACACGAACACACACACACACACACACACACACACACACACACACACACACACACACACACACACACACACACACACACACACACACACACACACACACACACACACACACACACACACACACACACACACACACACAAATTGCTCACTTTGTTCCGCTGATACTGAAACCATCAGCTTTTTCAGCTGAATAAATCCCTCCCGGTCACTGTCCTATGTTAAACTTGTTGCTGCCTATAACACCACTCAGTACTAAACAGGGAGTTAGTTCCTGCACAGGCTAGTTTGACAAAATCCCTGGAAGCTTTTAGGCCATCAGACACCGGGAAAAACACTGTGAAGCAAAAAAGCTCAGAGAAAACACAGAATCCCTTACCTGCTGCAGGTCAGGGAGGCACAGCCAACAGCAGCCCGCTGCAACGACCACATCAAGGCCAGAAGAGCTCAGGTTTGCCAAATTTAAAGGCTCAGCCCCAGCAAGGCCTGCTGGGAGGGGGAGCAATCCTCCCCTGAGTGCAGTGGGGTGCATGGGGAGAGGGAACAGCAGCAATCACATGAGGCTCTAGTTCTGAAGCACTCCTGAAAACTACTTTTGTGAGGGTGGGGCAGTGAGGAACTTGGACCTGAGCTGATTTAGTCACAAGGAGGGGCTTATTTGTTGAAACGCAGATCCCAGAGGCATTCCCCTTTCCATGCATAACTCAATCTTGGAGGGAAATTTGAATTTTGACATTTGTAAGCCTGGTCCTGCTCCACAGGGACCTGGTCCTGCCATGGTTGTCCCAGTGCTGCCTGATCCGAAGGCATCCAGGTGACTTGTTCCCTGAGAGAACTGCCTTTGGAAGGATCTTCTCTGCCCATAGGTGGTGAGGAACCAGGTTCTCCAGCTCACCATGCTCTGTTTCTGTCAGGACAGTAGTGAGGCAGCAGATGGAGCTGGCCCCTGGGATGAAGAAGTCACCAAGTGGTGGGGAGAGTGGAGCTCCTGGTCCACCTGCTCGCGGTCCTGCGGGGGAGGCGTGATGTCCCGGGAGAGGCACTGCTTACGACAGAGGTGAGTCGTGTCCCAGCTTGAGCCCTTGGCCACATCTCAAGCAGCAGAGGGGAAATGGGATACCCTCAGCCTGTGTTTTGGGGCCAAACCTCCTGGCTTCGGTAGGGTTGGCCATTCCCTGTTCTGTGGCTTCTTGGGAAGGAAGGCGGCTGTTGGCCACAGGGCATGGGGTGAGCAGGCAGCAGTGAGGAGGGCAGATGAGGGAGAAGCACACTGCAGTGGGGCAGGTGACAGGTCCCCTGAACACATTCCCTTCTCAAACTGGCTTGTCTGATGAGGAGCAAGGGGTTGGTCCCTTCTTGGGGTCTGTGAGGGACTTGAAGGTGACGGAGTTGTGGGCTGGAGAAGGCCAGCTGTATTCCTCTTCCCCTTTTCTTCACAAACCCTCACTTACCGCAGCTGCTTTGCCCAACCTAACCCTGATTTGTGACCAGTTCCTGTGCTGGGGATGTGGGTACTTATTCCCAGACACATTATGGAGCCTTGATTTACTCCTGGCAGCAGCCAGCCCAGCCGCATCTCAGCAATTTCCCCTCTTTATTCCCTGCAGAGTTTGCAAGTTTTTCTTTCCCCTCTGTCATTTATCTGACTGTCACCTGACAGCATCTCCATTTGTTCCTTACAGCCATGTTTGTCCCCTAAGAGCTGCTACAGCCCTGCTGTCAGCTGGACTGGGTTTGTGGGAGTGGGGAGAACTGGAGGATTTCAGCTGCCTGAGCTGCCACTGTCTCCTCCGGGTCACTTTGCCACCAAACCCTCCTCCTGGCCTTCACTAACCTGCTACTCAAGGCTCCCGAGAGATGCTAATGAGAGGCAGCGTCCCGCAGCTCAGCGAGCCCACAGGGACTGCCTGCCCCACGCTCGGCCCCTTTCCCTTCTGCGTGAATGCACTCCTGAGGGGAGGAAGCTCAAGCTAGGGCCCCCGACCTGCTCTCCTTCCTGCAGCAGAAAACTTCTTTTATGTAGGCTGGTTGGCAGCACAGAGAAGGTCCAGATGTGCTGCAGTACCTTCTGCCTGGATGGGGTGGCCATCTCCCTAACTGCATTTTCTTTCCCTTTGGCATCTGTGCTATCCTTGACTCCACAGCTGAGAGGGGTTTGCTGTGGTGTTTTACTCCAAGGATCAAGTTTGAATTAAAAAGAAAAAAAAAAAAAAGCCCAACATAACACCCAGCCAAAAGGTTTCTGCAGCTTTGAGAGGGCTCAAGTGTGAGCCAGGTATGCCCATGGAACAATTTCTGCCTGAGAGTGCAGGCAGCCTCTGCTTCAGCTGAAAGGGATGGCAGTTTTCAAGCCCTTTGGTGCAAATTTGAGCTTTGCTTACATCATGTAAAGCATGGCTCTGGTGAAACAGCCATGGTACCTCTAGCCAGTCCAGCTGGAATATGCCTAAGGGCTTCTTCTTCACATCCTAAGTTCCCAGTACGGTTAACACATTGTCTGCTGCTGATCTCCACACAGACCACATTGCCTTAATCTGTGGTCTCAGCCATTCTCCATACGCCTTCCCAGCTTTCAAGATTTTTTTTTGCTTTTACATCAGTTAAGGATTCCAGTATGCCCTGGAGAACTCCTGCTGGCCAGAGCTAAAACATCATGTATCGGGAAAGTCCCATGGTTTGGTCCCATCATCTGCACCAGGCTTTCCTGTCAGCCTTTTAAGGTGGCCAGTAACCAAGAGGTGCACAATGAATCTTGAACTCCCCTGCTCAGTGCAAATCTTGGGCACTTCCATGGGAGCGGTGGATCATCAGGGTCTGTTGTCCTTTTGTCACATTAAACCTTTTGGAGCTCAGAGGTGAAGGGACACAGGGGTGGTGATACTGCAGTTACTCCCCGTCTGCTCAAAGTGCCCCAAAACGAGAGTAGCCTAAGATCACAGTCCACTTGAAACCACTGAAAATGTTTCAGAGATGTTGGCCAGTCTAGATACAGAAAGCTTTGCTCTGGTCAAATGTCCATCTTGCTTCTCCCCCTAAAGCCAGGCGTGACTTCTCTCTCATCCTCAGCATCTCAGCACTGCACAGACCTCCAGCTCATTTTCTTTCTGCTTTGCAGGCTCCAGATGCCCCAGGAAACAAACAGCACCATGTGTGCTGGTCAAGCCAAGCACTACCAACTGTGCCAGCAGCAGGTGAGACCCGCTTCCAGTACTGACTGGTCCACACTGGGGATGCGGGGTGCAGCAGGTCATGCTGCTGCAAGAGCGTGCCTTTGAAGATGTGGGAGATGGGCTCTACTCTCTGGGACTAAGAGGTGTTGTGGAGTGGCAGGAGGGACAAAGTTTTCCTTCACTGGAAGTAATTTTTACAGTGCTGTTAAATCCAGCTGTCTGAGGAGCGCTTGGCAGTGGAGGCCTGGCCTCTCAGCCGGTATTATGGCACCCATTCCTTCCAGAGGGGACAAGGCATTTTCGTCCTCCAAGGGTGCATCAGGGACAAGCAGCTGTCACAACCACAGCTGTGACACAGGGAACTTTTGATCACATTTATTCCCTCCGTAGCCCTGCCCAGCCAACACAGCAAGCTTCAAACAGCAGCAGTGCTCCAGTTTCAATGCCAAAGCCTTTGGGAAGCGCTACTACCACTGGATGCCCCTCTACCCAGGTGGGTTTTCACAGCTTCACACAAAGCTTGAGAAAACACTCACAGGATCTCAGACACAGGAGAAGGGGAAGGTGCCCAGGGGACAAGGGGTGGATGCTGCTGGCTGATCTGGAAGTGCTTCCCTATGCTGGCTGCTTTGGAGAAATCGTTCCCTGTCTCTTCACAGAACCGCTTCACCCAGCCAGGCCTCCTCTCTCACCACATTGCTCCTGTTTTTGGATCCTACATCAGCAAGCACTGGTGGGCAGACAGGACGCAGGCTTCTCTGAGTTGTCTTGGCTAACCAGCAGTCATCTTGGCAGAGTGGGTGTACACGTTCTTTGTGCCTTCTACCATTTTGGCTGCCTCTCTCACCCAGCATGCTTCCCACTGGGTTGGTGGTGGGTCGTTCTGAGCAGGATGCCCATCCGTTTTCTGCACAGGCGAGACAGATTGTTTCACGCAAGGTTACCAGTTGCCTCCTGAGGCCCAAACTGAGTTCACCTAAGATCCTGCCCTTCTCTGGACTCACCTGTTTTTCCTTTAGCTGCCAAGGGGAACACAGGATATCTGCACCTCTGACTGGAGTTGCTCAGCTGAATGGGATGTAGCTGGCCAGAGCCCCACACAGTCAGCACCCCTCTTACGGGTCGTGCTTGCTCTTGTGTGTTTATGTGTGGCCCGGGATCTGCTGATGCAGATTCCCGTGTCTGGCACAGAGGAGGGTGTGGCAAGGAAAAGGATTTGCCAGCAACAAGTATTTCTGCTAAGCACGGTCCCCAGCTGCAGCCTCATGCCATGACCCCTTCAGTACTCTTGTTTGAGGCCTCAAACAAGCAAGAGCATCCAAAGTGACATCAAACCATCCTCACTGCCTGTCTCTGAGCACCTTGATCTACCTGGTGACTTTCTGCCTCTCTTCCTTCAGATGACTACACCAGTATCTCCAACAAGCCGTGTGACCTCCAGTGTACCACCCGGAGCGGAGAGAGGCAGCTGATGGCTCGAGCACAGGATGGTACCTCCTGCAAGGACAGGACCTATCAAGGGGTCTGCATCAATGGGAAGTGTGAGGTGAGGCTCTGGGGGGGAAGTAGAACAAAAATTGGGAGCGTAGGTGCATGACTGGACTGGTGTTACAGGGGGGTGCCTTTGATGCAGCATCCCCTGGAGAGTGGCATTGTACGTCATTATTTCAATGAGAAGGATCGGCCTTAATACAGAGACAGAAGGAACGGAAACAGCTTACTGGAGTCTTACTCCGTTCACCTGTACGTACACGCCTCTGCCCCAGGTTCAGGGGCACAACGGAGGTGGTCACAAGTTACACAGGTGAATTTCTGCTGCTGTTGGATTCATTCACTGCTCCACTCCAAGCTAACCTATATGTCCCCCTGCAGAACCTCACCAAAAGATCACGGGAGCGTTTCCCTGAACAGACCTGTGGAGATAAGCTGGATCCAGGAAACCCTCTCTTGTTTTGTTCTTTGCAGCCAGTTGGGTGCGATGGGAGCCTGTACTCACCCCGGACGATGGACAGATGCAGGGTGTGTGGAGGGGACGGCAGCACTTGCCACCGTGTCTCGGGCAGCTTCCGAAAGGCAATCTCACAGATAGGTACTCCCTGCTACCACAGTCTGGAGACTTCACCTGCTACTTCTTACCACCAGCTGGCGTGAAGGGTGACTGGCTTGAATGCGGGTAGGAGTTTCCCAGCTTCTTGGTGGAAAGACCTGAGGAGTGCCACCTCTGCTTTAATGCCTGTATTTTGTCCTTTTCACTTAATTATCCGAGGAAATTGGTTTCATGTGCTGTATATTAGGCTGGTAAAGTTTCCCTTCACCTCTTTACAATAGGGAGCAGCTGGGGATCTATTTGTTCCTATTGATTTTGGCATCTTGCCCACCTCAGATAATGCGAAGAGATGAATGAATCTTCTTTTCTTTGTGCTGTGTGTTCATCTGAAATCTAAGCTCCTTCGATGAGGGTCACAGCACTAGGTCTTCCCCAGTCCTATGGCTGGCACTGCTGAGGGACAGTCTCCCTGAAACTGGGCTGAGATTCACCCTTGCAACCTCACAGCCCATTCCTCCATCTGCAGAAGGATTAGACTGTGGTATGCTCATTAGTAATTAATTAATTGTGGTTTGAGGGTGTTTTGGAACAACATTTCACACTGTTGTTTCACTGGTCTGCCTCGCTCTCTACAGACACCAGACTAGAAAAGCACTCGGGCTCTTTTCCAGAGGTAAGGTAACATTGCTAACCCCTCCAGCACTACAGATACAGTTTTGGCCTCTCATTCCACTCCTCATAAAGTCTTGAGAACAGACAAGACCTGCATTTATAGTAGGGAAGACAAGCTGCCAAACCACACAACTTTAAGAGCCTTCTTATTTCCTCTCGCTTTAAAGGTCAATTTTTATGCTACTCCTGAGACAGATTTTATTGAGTCAGGAGCTGAGGGGACCTGTGGTCTTTTCCATCCTCTGGTCGGCATCAGCCCTGATCACTAGTGAGATTTTTCTGTGCTCTTGCCAGAAAGAGCATGAGAGCACATTTATCCATGCGTCTAAAGCTGGACAGTTGGACTTGTGCAGTTCCTTCCTGACTCCAAACCCAGCAGTGCTCAGACTGAGCCTCAGAAACATGTAATGGTGATCTCTAATGGGTCTTCAGAGGGGAACTGGGATTAGAGCTCGCAGACTGGCTCAGCGTGCATTGACGTCCTTAGCGTCTTGCCCCTGAAGGGCAGCACTTGTGTCACAAGCAGGCCTTAGTATTCTGTCCTCAGTGCTTCCTCACCTTCTGTTCCTCAGGTTACGTGTTCATCACCAACATCCCTGCTGGTGCCACAGACATCCTCATCATCGAGCGCAGGAAAACAGAAAACATCCTAGGTAAGAGTCGGAGCGGGATAGATGAGGAGATCCACGTTCAGCTGCCTGGGAGGTGGGAGGGCTCTTGTGCACCCACATCCCCGGATGTCAAAGAGCTTTCTGTGAGCATCTCCTCCAGGGCAGCACTCCACCTCCACAAACCAAAGCTACCACAACTCCAGCAGCAGGAGGAACAAGCTCACTGCAGGCTGTCCCTGTTGGGAAGACATCAGTACTCTGGTTGAAAACAAAAGCAGCAGGTGTTTAACACCTCTGGTCCGACCTGATGTGGAAGATAAATGCTGGAGGGCCTGCGGTCCTTTTTCCGTTGGGCTCTTCTCTGTCACGAGCTGTTTGCTCTTCCTGGGTGCCAGCACAGCCCTGGTGTTCTGCACAGAGTGTCACACTTGTCCGTTTTCTCTCTCTTTGAAGCACTCGCAGATGAATCCGGGCATTTCTTCTTCAACGGCAACTCCGCCATTGACAACCCCCAGAACTTCAGGGTAGCTGGCACGATCTTCAAGTACCGGCGTCCCTCGAGCCTGAACTCAGATGGGCTCGAGTATATCATAGCTCATGGGCCCACTAACCAGTCTCTGAATGCCATGGTATGTAAGAAGCTAGTTTTAGGCTTTCTCATCCCAAAATTGTGAACCTTCCTCAGACAACGGGAATATTGACCTGGTTCCCAAGCCAAACCTGAGTGTGTAGGGGGCTGAGCAAGCTGGATATTGTCTGGGGAGAGGGGGAATTTGCTCTTGGATTTGTGAGGATGCTGTCACGAAATGAATGTGTCTGGAAGACGTCTCTGGGAAATGCACGTACTTAAAATAATAATGGTTTTGTTTTCTTTCTTTCATTTCCTCCAGTACTATAACTTAAACGGCAAAATGCCACACATAACTTACGACTACACTGTACCACGGACACCGCCTCTCCGAACTGCCACCCCTGCTTTAGACAGACCTCTCTATCATCACCTACCAGACACTGGCCAGAACCATCCCATTCCAGCCAACTCCAGAGCTTCCCAGGACTTCAATGCCACGTGGCTCTCCCTGTCACCAGATGACACCATGGAACAGCTTCCTCTGAGAGAAGGGCATGAAGATTTAGGCTTCAGGCACCCACACTTCTTCCAGACCAACTCCACCAGTCAGACTCGGGACTGGGAACAAGATGAAGAGAAGGAGAAGTACGACTTCCAGATAAGACAGGTCTACCATGCAAGCACAGGAGAGGAAGAGGAAGCAGCAGTAATTGCTGGAGAAACAGAATTGGGTTGGTTGCTTTGTTTTTCCATCTCTCCCAGTTTGTTCGCTGAAAGCGGACATCCTGCATTGGTCTTCTTGAAGTCTAAGGTGGCTTTACCATCAGAGCAGGCAGGAGTGAAAGATGATTAATAGCGAGGGTGGAGACTGTCAAGTGGCAGCAAGGGCCAGCAGCTCCGTAAGGGAAGAGGAGCTGGGAGAGGGTGGCCACAATACAAATTGGACAGTGCTCTCTCAGGCAGGGCACCTAAGCTTGACGAGCAGGACAGTGACAGCAGCGGGTCCTAGCAACGGTCCAGTGATCATCAGGTGAAGGAAAGGTGACAAGACAAATCTGAGGTCGATGTGGGAAAGTCAGACAATTCAGGGACAAAGCACACCTTCAGCCCAGCTCAAGCTGGGACGGAGCTTAAATGGAGCTCCTGAGCAATGGGCAGGGAGTGTGTGTGAGGGCACTTAAGACCTGTTTGTGCACCCTGGTGGCAATTTATGATTTTGAGGCCAAATACTGATTTTTTTTTTTTTTTTTTACCTTGTTAAACACCGCATGCTGAAGTATAATCCATCCAATATGGTTAAAGCATCCATGTATTTTTCTTCCAGGTCTCAGGTTCAATCAAATTTCCATTAGCACGGCTGTACCCTACAGCATGAGGAGATCTGAGCTCTCTGAGAACAGCCGCATCACGTCCTCCAGGCTTCGTCTCTTCAGGCAACTGTGTCACCGAGACCCGCACAACACTGCTTTCTGTAGGGAGCTGCAGCACCTGGCGACCAGGCTGGCCCCAAGGAACTTCACGGCAGGACTATGGACCAAGACAGCTGCCCGGTGGCCACAGGGCCTCCACAAAGCGCCGGCCCGTAAGAACTCACTGGAGGACTTGAAGGTGGAGGCATTTGCTGGGAGTCAGGGGGAAGCAGCCAACTACAGCATGATGGCATCTGTGGAGAGTCCTCTACTAGGTGCCAGCCCAACCGCGGACATCAGCCAGGCAGAGCCTCTGCAAGCCCCTGGCACTGAAAGGTGGCACTTGGTTTCCTGGGCAAAAACAGGAGCATGGTTAGCTGGGGAGGGAGGGTCGAGCCAATCATCTGGCAGACTCTGTGCTGTCCTCGATGTCCCCGTTCATTGGTGTCTCTCCATGGCAGCTGCTGTAAACGTTTGACCAGTGGTGCATCCTTCAAACACTGGATGTCACGACTGGCCTGATGTGGAGCTCCTAGAGTGTATTTCAGGTCCCTCTGCCTCTAAGGGATCCTTTGAAATGGGTTCTGAAGAACCTGCAAGGCCAACACTGATGTGATTGTAAAGAAGGCCAGGAGTCTACCGCATGTCACATGTAACACACACGTTTACCACCAGGTCCCTTCTAGCCCACTTACTATCCCTGGTAAACATCCCTGCGTACCATCAGGCCCCTTCTGTACCATTCTAACAGGCACATAAGCTTCTGTAACTTCAGTGAACAGTTGGCAGGAAACTGAGGGTCATCTTTTAAACTTTTCTGGCAAGCCACATATGAGCTCTCCCCCACCACACTGTATGATACAAAGGGGGACCTTGCTTAAGGTCCCCTTTCCACCCTAATGTCATACTTCTCAAGATGACCGTAGGAACTGAGGCCGAGGGCACCCACATGGTTGGAAGGCCATAATATACACAAGACTTACTATGCATGATGCCTCCTCTCAGATAGATTTTGATCCGTGGCTATCCACAACTTTACTAGTTGAACTCGGGAGGTGGATCAAGGCTTTGCACTCTCTGGTCATCAGTGGTCCATCTTGACCAAGCTGAGGGAGATGGAAAGCAGAAACTCTGGATTTATTCCCAGCTTCAAAGGCAGCGAAGAGGAATTTTGCTGTATTTTATGTTTGCAGCAATTTTTAGCTCACACCACCTCCTTTTTCCACAGCAATGACTTTGATGTGAGCCCTGTCAGCCCCGAAGACATCAGCTTGGCTGACATGTATCGGTGGAAAGTCTCAGCTTACGCCCCCTGCAGCTCCACGTGCACTTCAGGTACGTTTCGCTTCAGGTCACTGGTGATGTGAAGTCCTTTTTGACTGCTGATGGAGAAAACACTGGTGTTTTTTTAAAATGGCAGGCAGAGTTTCAGATACAGTGAGTACTCCAGTAATTTAATCATGGTGAGAGCAGGCTTTTGAATCTGATGGAACCTGACCAAGAGAGAGTCTTGATTGCCCAGCAGGTATCAGCACCTCCTACGCGATGTGCGTCCGATATGACGGAGTGGAAGTGGATGAAACGTACTGTGATGCCCTAACCCGACCGGAACCTACTCACGAATTTTGCACAGGGAGAGATTGCCAGCCGAGGTGAGTGGAAACAACATCAGCTGTCCATGGGGACGACGTATCTTTGTAAGGATAATTTGGTGCTTAAAGCATACAGGCATTTCTGGGCTAGAAGATGTGCTTAAACAGCTAAGCCCTTGTATCCCCTCATAAGAAAAAAGGAGGGAGTTCACTAAATTGCCTGCTAAGGGCAAAGATGGCTTTCAAGAGCAGCATCGTGTTAACACAGACATGGACGTGATGAGCGGATTCCTCACAGCATCCACAGGGCGAGGGAGCCCCAAGTGTGTGGATACACCCCAGCCACCCCACGTCCCTTGTCCCCCTTACCTGGGTTTTACTTTGTGCTTTCTCTTCTGGGGACTGCTTGTGGAGGTGGGAGACCAGCCGGTGGAGCGAATGCTCCCGGACCTGTGGCGAGGGCTACCAGTACCGCACCGTGCGCTGCTGGAAGATGCTGGCTCCAGGCTTTGACAGCTCTGTTTATGATGACCTCTGCGAGTCAGCCGGGCTGGCCAGGCCCATGGAGAGGAAAGCCTGCAAGAACAAGGCCTGTGGGCCCCAGTGGGAGCTCTCTGAGTGGTCTGAGGTAAGCAACGACAGAGCTTTGCTCCCAGAGGTAAGCGGGCTGGGGCCTGGAGGAAGGTGGCAGATTTCAGGTGCTGAGGAAGCCCCCGGCCAACTGTCTCCATGGATGCAGGAACTACCTTTAGCTACCACTTCTCTGTTCTGGCACTGGTCAGCAAACGAAGGCCGCTGCCAACCATTTTTTCTAAGGTCGCTTCCCAAGCAGGACATTGACCAAACGAAAGCCTTGCCAGCAAGAGGCTTTGCCTGCCTCTCCTAGAGGATCTAAATGATTCCCTGATTCTATCTAACTAAGGCTTAATGGGAAGATGGTAGCATGGAGATAGAGAGAAACTAAAACTCGACAGAAATCCCTTTGATTGACTCGCTGCAGCCTGCTTGGGTGGCCCAGTGGCCTTGAACAGCACCCCAGGCGTTAGCATCTCGGAGCACTGGAGCTTTAGTAAATAAGCAGTGAAGATCGAGGTGGACCCACCTTTTTCCCCCATCTCTGCTGGGATCCTTTTCCTCTCCCTCAGCACAGCAGGAGGAGAATGGGAGGAGGCACCTCTGCCTCCCTCATGTCTGCTCATCCCCCTTGTTCTCTGCTCCTGAGCCCCGGGCGGCTGACGTGTAACACCTCTTGCAGTGCTCGGCACGGTGCGGCGCACAGGGCACGATGAAGCGCGAGGTGCGTTGCTCAGTGGAAGGGGCCCTCTGTGACGAATCCCGGAAGCCCAGCGGTGAGAAAGCATGCACAGGACCACCCTGCGACCGCCGCTGGACCGCTTCTGACTGGGGCCCGGTGAGTCCGGAGGGTCTGCTTCTCCTCACACCTGATGCTGAGGGCTGGTGGGAGGGAGCAGGTGGGCAGTCACGCTACCGCTGCTTTTCATCTTTCTTTCTGGCAGAAGCTAAGATAAAGAAATTTGAATAATCTGTATTTTTGCCTCTCTGTGCTGTAAATTTTCATTAGCTGTGAGGTGAGCTTCATTCAATAATCAGGGAAGCTCACCTCTAAAGACCCTTGGGATCCAGTGCCACCATCCCAGTGACAGGGTTAGGCTCTGGACTTGGGTCTCCTGGCACCACCAGCCCTGACTCCTCCGTCTTCCTGCTTTCTGATGTGTCTAAATGACCTTTATTCCTCCAAGTGCTCAGGTTCGTGTGGTGAGGGACGCATGAGCCGCTTCGTCGCGTGTCGCAACCAGGAAGGCAAGGTGATCTCCAACTCGCAGTGCGACCCAGCCACCAAACCCCTGGCTGTCCATCCGTGTGGAGACAAGAACTGCCCCGCACACTGGGTGGAGCAGGAGTGGGACCAGGTAAAGCCAAGCCCAGCCCCATGTCCTCAGCCTTTCTTCCCAGCCCATACCCACAGGAGATGGTGGGAGCCTGGCTCCCTTGGCGCAGCAAGGTTGTATGGTGCAACCTCGAGCCCTGGAGCTATACTGTTGTGCTAGCTCCTTTTAGAAAGAGGGAAGGATTAACGAGTACCCTAGATTGTCACACCCATACTCTATAGGCCACCCCAATTGCTGCCTTCCCAGGGACCTCCATTGGAGGGCGGCAACGTCGTAAGGAAACAAGCTGTCCTCTCCCACCTCTGACTCCCGGCTGGCAGTTGCAAACACCTCAGCAGAGCTCTTTGTCCAGAACCTGCAGTCACCCCTTCCAAGGTTTTGGTGCCACCACTAAAGAGAAAGCCTCAACAAAACCAGCTTTGTCTCTGATAAATAATAACTCGAGGTACTTACCTCAGGACTTAAGAGTCCAGTGAACATGGTCCTCATGCCCCGTTCTACCCAACAATTAGTCTCTGCCAATCTACTTAACTTTCCTTATGTTACTCAAGGCCGAGAGGCTTTAGGCTTGCCAGTACAAGCTGATCCAAATCCAAGAGCAGGCAGAACCCATTGAATCAGTTGTGGGATTTGGGCTTCATCTCACAGAGCCTTGAGCAAAATAGGGATTCGCAAAGCACTAAGGAAGAAGGTCTCTAGGGAACCAGAGGAGCATTCAAGCCCTCTTCCCTCCACTGCTAGCTAAATCTCTGTTCTCATTTTGCTCCCCTTTGTAGTTGTTGACTACTTTCAGCTGAGTCTCCCTCCAGCACTAGTAACGAGCACAAACTGGTTAAATCTGGGGACCCTTGGCTGTCCCATAACCCTCTCTGGCTCTGGCCTGCGGTGTGGGTCACGCACAGTACTGCAGTGCAGTCTTTCAGCTGTGTCCAGGCTGTTGAACTCACCTGAACTCTGAAAGACCAGCTGAGCTCCCCATCTTCGCGTGTGTCAGCTTCTTTGCCTTTGCCGTGTTCTCTTGGCTGATCGGCTCTGAGTTCACAGGATGACTAAGGGCAGCTGTGCTGGCCCTGCTGTGGCAAAGAAGGGCACAAGGCAGCAAAATCTCAAACTGGCATCTGCCCCCATGGGCATCAGGGTGCAGAGCTGAGCTAGATTCAGATCTTGCGTCCCGCTAGCTTCTCCTGGTGGTGTCCTGAGAGAGCAAGTCCTCCCAGCTGAGCCTGTGTGGCTTTGGCCTCAGCAGTACTTGTCCGTGCAAATCACCTGCAGTGCACCAGGTTGGTCCCCACAGGCCCACACAAAGCTTGCCAGTACGCTGAGATCTAGGTTGCTACACAAATGTGCTACACGTTTTTTTAGAACATAGCTACACATAAAATAAGACAGAAGCAGCCGCTTGTAGTCTTACCTTGGCTGCTCCAAGTCCCTTGTGGTAGCTGCTCTCGAGGCCAGCCAAGGTGAGTTCGGAATTCTGGTGCTGACTGAACGCTAATTACCAGCTCCTGTCCTCACTCCCTAAGAAATTCAGCCGTTTCGCAGACACGCATTGCTCTCGTGACCTGGGAAGCACTGCTGCCTTTGGACTGGTGTTAGCAGAGGCATTAAGCACCTTGCTTTTGGGCAGGATGCTACCTGCAGCCTGAAGCTCTGCAGCTGCCGAGCGTCATTTGTTACCTGACTGTTCTCTTTCCTAGTGTGATGCCAGCTGTGGGCGAGGGACGAAGACCCGGGTCGTCTTGTGCGCGGGCCTGGAGAATGGTGTGTACAGGGAGTACCCCGAAAAGCGCTGTGAAGCCTCTCAGAAACCTGAGGAACAAACTGCCTGTTTCAGGAGGCCGTGTTCAACGTGGTTCACTACCTCCTGGTCTCAGGTAGGGCTTGGGGTGGTGGGGAAGGGGGAGAGGAGGTCTCGTAACCCTGGTTGGTGGAGCATGACCTGCTGAGGGCTTTGTTAGGTCTGGATGGGACCATAAGCTCTGCTCTTCTGCAGACCAGGCAAGAGGTGGAGGGACTGGCACATGCAAGCTGGAAAAAAACATAGAGCATGTGGATTTTACCTCAAGCAAGAGCATGCATCACGCTGTGGGCACGCAGGATACAACCGTGTGTCATCCTTTGCCATATGTCAACGTTCTGTCCTTCCCTGCTTTCCCTTGATTTTAACTGGAGAGCGTTTGGGGAATGGCAGGACAGGGGAAGCTGGGCCTGGCTCACAGCAGCCATTTTCTCCATCTTCTATCACAGCATCAATACTCAAACCAATGCTGAGGTGCATTAAAGAGATGAAAGCAAACTCCTTTCTTGCTCTGCCCCAACCCCAGGTCAGGGAGGCTCTCGTCCAGCAACAAAAGGGGAGCGTAAGTTTTGAGATCAGCGTGGGATTTGAAGGACAGGGGAAGCTGGGCCTGGCTCACAGCAGCCATTTTCTCCATCTTCTATCACAGCATCAATACTCAAACCAATGCTGAGGTGCATTAAAGAGATGAAAGCAAACTCCTTTCTTGCTCTGCCCCAACCCCAGGTCAGGGAGGCTCTCGTCCAGCAACAAAAGGGGAGCGTAAGTTTTGAGATCAGCGTGGGATTTGACCCAAACCTCCTCAGCAAGTCTCCAAAGCAGTGATTTGGAGGCCTCGCTGGAAGAATGAACTTGGGACCTATAGAAAAATTTTAAAAATGCCTCTCGTGATCCCTTTGCTCTGCTCTCTCTTGATCCTGACAGTGCAGCAAGACGTGTGGTGCTGGTGTGCGACTACGTGAGGTGAAGTGCTACCAAGGGGAAGTGCTGGCTCAGGGCTGTGACCCTGCTTCCAAACCAGAAGCCAGGCAGACGTGCCAACTCCAGCCGTGCCCCACAGATGCACCAGGTAAGGCTGGGAGGGAGAGGAGCCCTTGGGAGCCCTTTGCTCTGCCCAACTCCCTTTTTAACCCCATCTGTGGATGCTTCTGCTCCCCAGAAGAAGACTGTGAAGACAAAGTGACGGCCAATTGTGTGCTGGTGCTGAAGGTGAAGCTGTGCTCTCACTGGTACTACAGGAAGGCTTGCTGCCGGTCGTGTCGGCTCAAGTCACCCTGACTGCTGCCAGGCCCCCTCCCAAGTTCAGGGGCAAGAGCCCCCTTGAGCCAGACTTGACCACTTGAAGCCACCTCACTTGGCTTGGCTGTGCAGCCAGTCCCTGTAGACCAGCCTGCTCAGCGAGGAAGGATTCCTAGGACTCAGTCATCACCGTTCCCTCTCCTCCTGGAAGATTTTACACAAGACAAACCATCGGTTCCTAGAAAGCTACTGAGAAGTGAGTTGGGAAAGCTAGTCCCTGCTGTTGTCGTCTTTGAAGAGCTCTAGCTGGAGGTGGTGGGGCGCAGAGGCCAGCCCGCAGTGGGGCATGGGCAACAGCGGCCAACTCTCTGGTCTGCCCTGCACATTTTTCTAACACAAGGGCAATTGCCAAAACACACTGAAAAATGCTGTGTCAGAATAAAGAGCTGTAAAAAAACGTGTAAAACTGTGGTTTTGGGTGGCAGGTACCTCAGCCAGAGGTGAGAGAGGAGGAGGGACACAAGAGAAACAAAAGCAGGAGCAGGAAGGGTGGGGAGGAAAAAATCCTTGCACCAGTAGAGCATCCAGGCAGCACTGGATAAACCCCGTTTTGCATTGCCTGCCAAAGAACAGAAACTACTCCTGGTTTGTATTTCAAAGTCCTCGTTTATTTCTGACATTGAGTTTGGACCCATAGCTGAGCAACAAAGACAGAGAATAATAACAGGAGGAATCTGAAGTGAAAAACATCTGGGATCCCTGCCCCAATCCTGTTCCTCCACCATTCTCAAAACCTTCTAACCCACACCTGCCTCTCCCACGTTGCCAGCCCTTTCAGACTCACCCATTTCTCTGGAGCCGTCCCATTTCTCTAGTGCTGCGTTGGCCATGAGGATAACCCTCGTCTTGGCCATCCCATGACTCTGGAACTGCCTCACCAGCCTTGACACCTCATTAGCAGGTGGCGGGGTCGTGCTTAATTTGCATGTGATGAAGGTGACGATGCAGTTGCCTTCCTTTCACACAGAAGCAAAACCCCGCTGTGGTACTTCCACCTCCCAGAGGTGACGGCCTGGCATGTGTTGCGGTGGGAAGCCTCGCTGAGTTCCAAGAGGTAGAGTAGGACGCTGGGAGCCGCGATACTCACGAGCTGGCTCAGCACCCTTCAGGGGGACGGTGTCGCAGGGCCTGTAGGTCACGCTGGGACACATTAGCTTCTTGTGGCTCCCAGCAGGATGAGACCTAGTTGAGCGGATGCTCTAGTGGGAGAGGATGGGATTTACCGAGTTGGCCAAGAGATTTTTCCAGTTACAGATTCTTATTCTCGGGGAGGAGTGCTGGCTGGATGGGAAGCAGCAGGAGCTACAGACTATCAGCCAGTGGCATCTAGCGAGCTTTGCCGCTGTTAGCTTTCGTCTTCCCTCCTGCCTGCCCTTAACGTGAGAGGACATTTAAAACCCGTTGTCACTATTTGGAGGAAGGAAGGAGACTCTCTAGAAGAGAGGCATCTAGGCTGAGTCTCAGGATAATGGAAACACAATGTTGTTCTAGGCCGGAGGTGGAGGAGATGGTGCATAACACTTGCTCAAAAGGCTGTGCAAAATTCAGGCTGAGGCCAGGAGTTTGGTTACGAGGACTGTCACTGCATTTGGCGTTCATCTGGCTCCTTTTCTTCGGGAAGGCTGAGCACAGAGGCCAAGGCACGAGCAGATCCAAAGGCCTTTTGCCTGATAATGTAGACATTTGAGGCACCTCTACATTGAGACCTACTTCTTCTGTGCATGAACGGGGAGGATCAGTACAAATCCTTCTGTGAGCAGCGGGACGATTTCTAAATTGCAGTGGTGAAAAACAAAATAAAAAACCCAACCCCACCACTCACATTTCTGAGCAGTAACATCCCGTATTGCAGACAGGGCAAGTGATTCCTGCCATTGCCTCCAACAGCATCCTCATGGCTGCAGCTCCCTCGTCCCTGCCATGAATGGGAAGTGCTCAGCCGAGTGGTCCTGTGCCAGTTGCTATGGAATTGCCCATGACTGATAGAGATGTCCTTTTAGTAATTTTTCACCTGATTTATGGAGGAAGAAGGGACTTTCCCACGTTCATTTTTTGCAGAAAGGCAGAGTCACCGGCTGTCATTAGCAGCTGCAGAGCTGGTGAACCCAAGTTTGGGTTTCGCACCCTCTTGTTCCAAAAGCAAAAGAGTGGGGACTCTGACCACCTGAACATCACTCTCCTGTGGGAGGTCGTGGGCCCCACGAAGGAGGAGACATGACCCGGTGACATCTGCTGTTGCTGTTGGAAGTGAAAGCCATCCTAAAGCCAAGCTTCCTCTGGCTGTCCGGAGCTGTCAGGCTGGGCTGGGTAGGGCTTTGAACACCGAAGGTGACCGAAACTGCGGTTATTGAGGGGTGCAACTCTTCCCATAAGTAAAATCTTGCCATTTTTATGGGTCCAAGTTAAAATGACTTCTAGGAAAGCTTGTGAAGAGCAGAAGAGGTGGGGGCTTCGGATCATCCTGTGCCCATTTGCTCAGGTGAGCGGTTTTGTGAGCAACTTTGCCTCTGCTGGCAGTGATCTAAATTCACGTCTTGAACTTCTTCAGCACATGCAGAGACCGAAGCGGGTGGGAGACAGTGTCCTATCTTACACTCGAACGTAAAAGCTAACTGCTAGCGGCAACGAACGCAAGTACAAGGGGGAGCAGGACGATCTGGGTCTTCCCTTCGTTGCTTTCCCATCGCACTGCCGTTCCCAGCTCAGCAGCAGGGTTGGCCGGGGGGACACGGCTCGGTGTGCCGGAGGCGGCCGGCATC